CATAAGATTCTTCACTTCGGTTAATGAGCAAACCCATCGGTTAACAAATTCCTAACGAATTTTTCCCCAACGTTTTCACCTGCATTTGGCTGCCCACAAGCTGTAGTATTAGTCCGCCAATACAGTAATCGGTTTTAGGGCTTACATTCCTTACCATTTTAGTAAATATCAAGAAAGTTGTACTATTCAATAATTTTAAAAGTTATATATTAAATTATTTAGTCATTTTAAAAATTATTGAACACAATTGAAGTACAGGAAGCTAGTTTTTTGTGAGCCAAACAGCCACTCAACACACCAAGCTTGGCATCAGTTTGTTTACCAATTCAGAGGAAGGAACATCTTGTTTGAAACTCTTCAACATTAACGCTTTTTTTCTGTGTTTCCAGTCAAATTATTGGTCATTTTGAAATACATTTTACATATTGACAATATATAATGCAGTGCAGTGTTGATTTAAAGAAAATATTCTTGAATTACACCAAGTGAACTAAAATTTTATGGGTGAAATGGCGGCATGGGGTGACTTCTCTTCCACCCCAATGCCTTCTCTTCTCCCTTCTCCTCCAACCCCATTCTAATTCCCATCATCATCAACCAGGAGCCTTCTACATGCACACCTCAAACTAAGTGTACTTTACTGCATTTATTTTTTAGTTTGTATGTAATTTTCGGTGAGCTGGAACCAAATACGTACCCAAAAACCCATTGAAACAATGGTTTCGGTTAACGAATTTTTCGGTTAACGAGCAACCTTCTGGAACGAATTGTGCCTGTTAACCGAAGGACCACTGTACTTGTAAACATATACACCTAATAAACTCAAAGTGTTTATTATTATTGTTTATTTGATATTATGCCCTTGATTCTTTATTTATTTTGTTCTATATGTATTGAGTAAAACAAGTGTTAAAATCTGATGGCAGTGAACCACCACAATGCCCGTATCTCCCTATTTACATTACAGTCATGCGCCGGTTAACGTCCAAGATACGTTCTTGGAAACGTGACGTTAACCGAAATGGACGTTGTCCGATCATCACAAACTTTTTATTTATACTTATGTGTATGTGGAATACTATATACGTACATATACACTTTTACTGTTAAATCACTACTGTAATGTGATACAGGTGATTAATTTTTATCTCTTGTGCAAAATACATGACGTTTATATTAAAATTATTCACTGTTTTACAAGGATTCCAGCAACGCCGAGCAGATAGGGGAGAGAGATAGTGGGAGCGAGCGAGGGGGCGTGGGGAGGTAGTACGTTTGGCAGTTCGCACAGGCCCAGGTCTAACGCGTGTACATTTATCAGTTCTTAGGTGACTAAGCTTCTCTTATAAAAAGCCAGTGAAATGGCCTGGGTGAATATAATTAACATAGCTGGGATTCTTGTAACATACTGATTAATTTGAATATAAACATGCTATAATTTGCACTAGACAAAACAATTTTAGTACCGTAATCAAATTAATACATGTGAACTCCAGCTTTGCACTAAGAAATCTATGTAAATCTACCCAAAAATACAGTTGAAAAACTTTTTTATAAAATGTACTACAGTACTGTACACTAATGTACAACAATTTTTATCTCTTGAGCAAAATATATGACGTTTATATTCAAATTATTGGCTGTCTTGCAAGGATTCCAGCAATGGAAATTATAATCTCCTAACTTTAGTCTGAGATATTATATAAGATAAAAACTGTAAGCCTAAAAGCCTGGCTGGGGGGGGGGGGGACGTAGCCAGCCACGCCACCCAGCGAGGGGTTGGGGGGTTGAGGTGATAAGTTTGAGGCGAAGGTCTCTGTGTGTTTATTTAACAGTCCTACTAAGCTTCTCTCATTTTAAAATGCCAGTGATATGACCTGGGAGAATATAATTAACATAGCTGGGATTCTTGTAAGATAATGATTTATTTGAATATAAACATGTTGTAATTCGCACTAGACATAACAATTTTAGTACCGTAATCAAATTAGTACATGTGCACTCCAGCTTTGCACTAAAGTCATTTACAGTATTTCTTTTACGTTTCTTTTAGTATGGTGTGTGCATGTAAATGTATGAAAATAAATGAAGAAATTTATGTAAATCTACCCAAAAATACAGTAGAATTTTTTTTTATAAAATGTACTACAGTATTGTACACTAATGTACTACATTTTTTATATCTTGAGCAAAATATATGACGCTTATATTCAAATTAATCTCTGTCTTGCAAGGATTTCAGCAATGCAAATTATATTATCCTAACTTTAGTCTGAGATATTATATAAAATAAACATAAAGAAATCACCAATCTTTTATCTTGGAACACGAGGGTGGTGGGAAGACGGGGGGGGGGGCGGGAGGTGAGGTGACAGAATGTCTGGCGTTTGTTTGTTTATTTATTTGAGATAAGATTTGACAGTTGGCGCTGAAGGCCTGCCTGCGTGTTTATTTATCATTACTTAAGAGTGACTAAGCTCTTCTCATAATTTTCCACCCAAACGACCTGGGTGAATATAACTTACATTGGAGGGATTCTTGTAAGATAGTAATTTATTTGAATGTTTTTTTTTTCAATTTAAATTTTAATTGTTTATTCCTTGATAGAGGAAGCGGGATCCTAGTGCTGTCACTTGGTACCCCTGTACCATAACACCAGAAGCAACTGGCCAGTGTCACAAGTATATACAGTACAGTACAGTCATCCCTTGGTTATCGCGCCTAATTGGGACCCCGCCGATAACGAAAGTACAGAACCTATGGGATTTATTCTAATTGGTTCATTTACCCAAGACCCAACCCCAAGTTTCCCATTTTACGACCATTTAGACCCACTAAATATATATATAATGTTATGGTAAATATCATAAACACACATAGGCATGGCTAGGTTTATTACAAAGTGATGAAAAGGGTACGCTTAATACTGTAGTCCACAAAACATGTAGCTATGCTTTTTTTTATTTGGTCCCCCGTCATACGAGTCCGTTTTCTCTCACATCAGGACGCCCGAGTCCTCCGTTTTCTCTCTTAATCTTAGAGTGCACCAGAAACTTTACTATTTTTAGTAATGCCACAGAATTTGAAATTGCAACCCCAATTGCAACTGGGGTTGCAATTGTTGAGGCAACTAGATATGTCTGATTACAGCAAATGTGTTATTGTCAATTTGTAGGTGAAAGATTTTATCCTCAATAGATATAGGTTAACATTTAACCTGTAGGCAAATGCTTAAAAAAGCCTAAGTAAGGAAGCATATTCCTTTAACAAATAATATCTGACCAGTATGGGGAGGATCATCATGTCTCTGTCAGGGGGTCGTGGAGTGGTGGTCCAGCAGGCGTCACGTTGTTGTTGTTTTTTTTTGGGGGGCACGGACGTATATGCGATCGGACGTTAACCGGCGCATGACTGTACAGTGACCCCTCGTTTAACGAACACCTCGGTTAACGTAATTTCGATTAACGAACTGCCTTCCATAAGGATCTTCAATTCGGTTAACGAAAAAAAATTCGGTTAACGAAGTTCTTACGAACCGACATCAACATGTTTTCGCTTGCACTGACCGGGCTACCAGCTTTAGTATCAGTCCGCCAATACATTAATCGGTTCTAGGGCCTAAATTCCTTACTATTTTAGTAAATATCAAGAAGTTTATACTATTCAATAATTTTAAAAGTTTAATATTCAATTTTTTAGTCATTTTAACAATTATTGAACATAATTGAAGGTAAAGTGACTAGTTTAATGCGCGGCATCCAGCCTCTTTACACAGCAAACAAGCGTTAGTCTCTCTCTGTTTTCAATGGAGGTAACATCTTGCTTGAGACTCTCTTCAACTAAACGCTTTTTTTCTGTGTTTCCAAGCAAATTATTGGTCATTTTGAAATATATTTTACATATTGACAATATATAATGCAGTGCAGTGTTGATTTAAAGAAAATAATCTTGAATTACACCAGAGCTTAAATTTTATGGGTGAAATGGCACCATGGGGTGACTTCTCTTCCACCCCAATGCCTTCTCTTCTTCCTTCTCCTCCACCCCCATTCTAAATCCCATCATCATCATCATCATCATCATCCAGGAGCTTTCTACATACACACCTCAAAGTAAGTGAACTTTTCTACCATTTTTGTTGAATTTAGGAAATTTTCGGTGAGCTGGAACCAATTACCCAAAAACCCATTGAAACAATGGTTTTGGTTAACGAACTTTTCGGTTAACGAACGACCTTCTGGAACTGATTGAGTTCGTTAACGGAGGGGTCACTGTATTTCTTATGGGAAAATTGCTCCGCTATTCGCAATTTTGATATTCGCAACGAGTTTCATGCTCGTAACCTTTGCGACAAGTGAGGCAGCCCTGTAAATATCCAAAAGGCAAACACAAAGGGAATATACATTTCTTTGTACAAAAGTAAAAATGCACCCACCCCCTGTCAGCCAATGTTATTCGTGACCATTTTGAGAACCTGATCCCCGCTAATTTGAAGGTGCATGCTGTACTCACAGAAAAGTGGACCAGTTCACCCCAATGGAAAAGAAATGTACTGTACAGTATAGTATAGTGCTGGAAAATGAGCAGACAAGAGAAGAGGGTAGTGATGAGGGGTCAGGGGAGGTGGGAGGATGAGTGATGACATCTTGGTCAAGAAGTTACTGTGAGTCAATGGGGGAGTGGGAGGGAAGGTTACCACAGAAAGGCAGCACAAAAGCTTAGAGTTACCACAACACATTTTTCCTCAACTTAGTAACAACAAGGCTTTGTACTCCTAGCCAAAGAAAGGTGCTCATTTGAAAGCAAACACCAGGACACACCTTACATCATTCGCAGGGGTTAGTACCACAATTGTTGGAGCTAATACTAAAGGTTAAAAAAAATATCACACTAACCTTACCCTCTGTCAATTATTTTTTTTTTTTTAATCCGATGCTCACTTAATTTACTTAAGGTATTTATCACTGCATACTCAGGATAATATTCAACAATGTACTCACTTGTGTCTCTCTTCCCTTGACGCAGCCTTTGGGTTGTAATAGTTGCGACCAATCAACTGAAGACCAAGGAATTCTTGACATCGACGGAGAATAGTGTTCAGTATCTGCTCAAACTGCGTCTCCATGCTGCTTACCTCTTTAATGAACTTGATTTTTAGTTGGTAAACTGATCCATCAGATTCTCGTTTAGAGACGAGCTTTGTTACCTGTGGAGTAAGTTCATTTTCAGAAACATTGGCTTTTTGTGGAACAATTTTATCATACCTTTTCTTAACCTTTTACTCAATGATAGGTGGCCAGAAACAAAAGAAAATTAAATGAACACTAACATTTTCCCAATTATGGGGAGTCCTTATTAATCATGTGGATCCTATACAGTACAGTAGGATCTCAAAGTACATGAAGGTAAAGATATGGGAGCCTCATGTAAGAGCAAATTTTGCGTACATTTGGGTCCCCTTGTATATCAATTTAAAACCCATTTTCTATCCTAAAGTAACCTTACCCAAGGTAGACAAGTGCATGAACTACCACAAACCATATACCCTGTACAGAATAACGAGCGAAAATAATAATCATTAAATGTACATAAATATTATAGATATATTTATAAAAGTCAAAAAGGTTTTGGACATCTCATTTTCAAAATGTCATGTAATGTAATGTTGAAGAGATACAACTTTGCTCATTTATACTTATACTTATCACTATATATATATATATATATATATATATATATATATATATATATATATATATATATATATATATATATATATATATATATATATATATATATATATATATATATATATATATATATATTTCATGTAAATCCACAATGAAAACGTGGATAAGATAAATCTTGATAAAATACACAGTTGTACCCCACTTAACGCGGTCAATTGAACCCAGAGGGTCCCGCGTTAAGTGAAAACCGCGTTAAGTGAATAACAGAACATATGGGATTAATTCCAATAGAACCCAGCCTGACCCCCAAACTCCACTTTTTGACGACAAATAACTATGTTGTAGTAAAAATTCTATCTTAACTTTATGGTGGCATGAAAAACAAGTAATATAGAAGAGGTTAGGTTAGGAAAGATAAAGGTTAACATAGGAAAAATAAAGAATAGGTTAAAAAACGAAAATTTTTGAGGAACACTCACGGTAGTAGAAGAGATGGGTCGGCATACGGGGATGGAGGCTGGTTCCGAGGCAGAGGGCAGATTACTGCCCCTCAGGTGAATCACCATTACTAGGTGAATCACCATTACTAGGTGAATCAATATCACTGTCACTTACAGTTGTTATGGCTTCCCTGACAAATCCCTCAAAATCAACTTCACTATCACTATCACTGGCTTGGGCTGGCTGTGGTGGGTTGCGGGCGAAGAACTCGGTTATGCTTTGCTGACGGCTGGCTTTGATGTTGTCATGATACACCGTGATGTACGGCTCCATAGCCTGCACCAGTCGGGTATGGAAGACGTCATGGCGTTCATCGTCATTGTCGCGGGAAACGATGGACTTAATTTTTTCTGTTAACTCTATGACACACTTAATATCACTATGACTTAAACTAGGTTCTTCGGAGAATAACGCACCTTCTTCCTCCTCTTCACTGGCGGGTTCTTCTTCCAACATCTCGTCGGCAGTCACTTCAGGATCTCTGATCACCTCCATGATGTCTTCGTTGGTGGTCTCGGAGAAGCCTTCAGCTGTAATACTGAGCGCAGCTTCTCTGGCAAGGTCCACTGCTACTGCAACAGTCTGAACCTGACCAGTCACAGGTTCACTCCTCCTCTCACCTGGTATGCCATGCAACACATGTCTCCATGCGTGACGAATCGTAGCAATAGACAGCAGATCCCATGCCTCCACCAAGAAGTCTACAGCTTGTTTGACGTTAAACTTCTTCCAAAATTGTTTGACGAGAAGTTCTTGAGTCGCCGCCTCTTGTTCCTTGTCCTCGTCGCTTTTACTCTCGCTGTCGGTGTCACCCAGCTTACGCAACTCATCCTTGGTGTTGGTAGAGTCGTTCAGGAGCTTGAATTTCTTTGCCGAGTATGCAGCTTTAACATTGCAGATTAACTCCTGGTCCATGGGCTGGATTAATGACGTAGTGTTGGGAGGAAGGAAGACCACTTTTACGTTGGGGTGACGATCCATAAGTAGGGGCGAGTGTCCAGGTGCGTTGTCAAGGAGCAACAAAATATTGAAAGGAACATTCTGTTGCTCGCAGAATTTCTGCACGTCAGGAACAAAACAGTTGTCAAACCAGAAGAGGGACAGAGAAGAGGACATCCACGCCTTACGTGCGGTTAGCCAGTGGACATTAAGCTTGTTCATGTCCATATTCTTGTAGGCGTGCGGCTTGCGGGCTTTGTGAATCACCGATAACTTTGGTTTACAGGTACCGGAGGCATTGGTGGTAAACAGGACGGTGATGCGTTCCTTCTGCATCTTCCGGCCCCTTACCTTGCTCGCAGACTGGACAACGAAGGTCTTGGAAGGTAACTTTTTCCAGAAAAGACCAGATTCGTCCATGTTAAACACCTGGTCGTCACTGTACTGTCCTTCCTCCATAATCTCACGTAAAAACGGAGGAAAATCTCTAGCCGCCGCACGGTCAGCACTCGCTTCCTCACCAACAATGCTGATGTTGGTGACCTTGTTCCTCCTCTTAAACCTATGCAGCCAACCATGGGAAGCATTGAAGGGTTTGGGCTCTGCAATTCCCAGTTTACGTGTCACTGCTGCGTATAGCTCACGTGCGTACTCCTGCACTGAGCGCGTGTCCACCGCCATGTTGCGTCGCGCCTGACGCACCAAATAACTCACCAGCAAAGTTTCCACTTTTGCCAGCACCCTGTTCTGGCAATACCTGATAGATGAAGCACCTGCAGACTTTGTGATCTTCATGTGCTCCTTTATCTTGGCTGCATCCTTCTTTATTGTACGAATCGTAGATTCGTTGACGCCATGCTGGCGCGCGAGATCAACTTGGCGTCTTCCTTTCTCCAAATCTTGAACAATTTGGTACTTCAGCTCGTAGCTTAATGAACGTCGTGTCTTCTTTGGTTTAGTGCCGCTGGGTCCAGGTAAGGAAAGGTTTCTCTCTGGGGGTGGTGGTCCGGCGGAAGCCATTTTACGGAACAATGGATGCGCGTTAACCCGGCGTGGCCTTGAGGGATGAAACTGCCGCGGCTAGGTCAAGCGTCGTCTCTCCTCCCTCCCTCCCTCCCCGGGGTAGTCACGTCATAATACTTTAAGCCAATTACAGCTAGCAGCAGAGGGGGGTAGGGCTGCATGGCCAATCACAGTCCGAGACGTCATATGACGTCAGTGATAACGCAACAAAGACACACACTGCGCACATATAGTAACTATATATATATATATATATATATATATATATATATATATATATATATATATATATATATATATATATATATATATATATATATATATATATATATATACACACACACACACACACACACACACACACACACACACAGTTTTACTTTTAACGCCACTTAACGCACAAGATATGTGCCTTGCCAGCTGAACTTTCACTTAACACGGATTTTTTTCCATATACGCCGTGAGTGTCCGCCGAGACGCTATTTTTAGATTTGCCCCACCCCACCTGCCTGACTGCCTGTTTTAGCTCATAAAATTCATACAAATTACCCGGCCAGAATATAATTTACATTACTGGAATTCTTATAATTTGGTGATCATTTTGAATATAAACATCATATATTTTGCATTAGACATACAAATTTTAGATAAAATGTTTTCTCTAGTAAATATGTTATCTTTTGCGCAAAATATATGACATTTATATTCAAAATATTCCTGGTCTTACAAGGAATCCAGCAATGTCAATTATATTATCCTAACTTTAGTTTGAGGTATTTTTTATTAAAATTTAGTGGTTTTACCACACATCTCCTTGGGACGGTTGGTGGGGGGTGAGGGAGGGAGCGACCGACCATCAGTTACCCCGTGAAGAATATTTTTTTTTTTATTAACTGAAGATATTTGTTTTTGCTCATAAAATTCATACAAATTACCCGGTCAGAATATAATTTACATTGCTGGAATTCTTATAATTTGATGATCATTTTGAATATAAACATCATATATTTTGCATTAGACATACAAATTTTAGATAAAATGTTTTCTCTAGTAAATATGTTATCTTTTGTGCAAAATATATGACATTTATATTCAAAATATTCCTGGTCTTACAAGGAATCCAGCAATGTCAATTATATTATCCTAACTTTAATCTGAGGTATTATTTAATACAAAATGTTAAAATTTATTTTTTTCACCCACTCTTCCTCTTGAAGGGAGGAGTGGTGGGAGGGAGGGTTGGGACTGACTGCGCGGTTGGAAGAGGGGGGGAGGCAAGGTGGGGTACTTTGATTGACAGATAGTGTCATGAAGAATTTTTTTTTTTTTATTAACTGAAGATATTTGTTTTAGCTCATAAAATTCATACAAATTACCCGGCCAGAATATAATTTACATTGCTGGAATTCTTATAATTTGGTGATCATTTTGAATATAAACATCATATATTTTGCATTAGACATACAAATTTTAGATCTAATGTAATAATTTGGTTTACACAAAGCAAATATTTTATCTTTTGTGCAAAATATATGAAGTTTACATTCAAAATATTCCCTGACCTGCAAGGAATCCAGAAATGTCAATTATATTATCCTAACTTTAGTCTGAGGTATTATTTATTACTAAACGTTAAAATCTAGTGTTTTCACCCAAACATTTCTCAGAGAGGTAGGAGCTAGTGAGCTGGGAAGAGGGGGGGGGGGAATTTGAGTCCATTATTTGAATGGACATTAACCTGGCGACTGTATTTCTCTTAAATATTAATTGTGTGAGCATACCATCATAAAATTTAGATGTTATTTTTACTACAACATAGGTATTGTGTCGGAAAAAGTGGAGTTTGGGGGTCGGGCCAGTCTCTATTGGAATTAATTCCATATGTTCTGTTGTTCACTTTATGCGGTTTTCACTTTCCGCGGTACCCTGTGGGTTCAATTGACCGCGTAAATCGGGGTACTACTGTATCTGGTATGGGTTACGTATGCTGGGGAAGGAGGTACAGTGAGATGTTGTGAGCTTCCCTCTGCCGTTAAGCCAATGTAAGCCATTATTTCCGTCTTCTGCAAATTTGCCAAAAGTTTGTGATTGTGATAATTTGGCTTGTTTTTCAGTATTTTATTATGAGTAATATCATTAGTAAAAATTTTTTTGCTTAGTGGACTACTGCTCGTCCCAGACTACCTAGCTAGGCACCTCCGCCTACGGCACTCGGCCTCCCATCCGTAATACGGGCGCATTAGAAGTAGGGTAATTTGGGATACATTAAAAAATAAATAAAAAATAAAAAAATGCATCTTATATGCCGGCAAATATGGTAATATTATACCAATTGTTTATTTATATTATTATATACTTGGTAATTTACTTGGAAGAACTCGACATCTGTTTCTTACTCAAATCTACTGGGGGAGAGCTATGAAGACCAGGGAAAATGTAGAGTTAAGCATGCACCTAACGAAGATTGATTTTTCTAAATTTTAAGCCTAGAATTGGATTACGCAATCCCCCAAACTGATTTTTCAAAAATTCAAACCAAGAGCTAAAACAGGCAACCACCAAGTCAAACCTAGGAATATTGCATCAAAATTACCTTTTTTAGGTCATCATTCTTTTTTGGAGCAGGCATTAACCATTTTTGGCTAAATATTTTTAAATTCAACCATCTGTTTTAACCTAGTTTTCCCTGGTTTTCAAAGCCCCCAGCACTTCAAAATAATTTTTCATGAAATGGTTACTATGAACATAGCAAGAAAGATCTGCAAATAAACAGGTCGACGACCTGTGCCTGGGTGGGCTAGTCCCTGAAAAAGAGTAAACCAGGTTTTTTTTTTATTTACTGTGGATTTATTTTATTATTTGAGATGATCAATAGTTTTGTTGTTACTTTTTACTTTCAGTAATTGAGTACTTTATGAGTAAGATACTTTTCTACTTGAATACATTGAACTTTGGATACTTTTACTTCAACTTCAGTAACATTTTGCCAATTTAACAATACTTTTACTTAAGTTACAAAGTCCAGTACTTTTTACAACTCTGTACATACCTCATTTCCAAGCTTATATGCCAGGTAAAGCAACATGCCATCGAAGAGGTAATTAGCACCCAATAGTTCACGATGCTGTCGAAGAAGTTGCTTCCTCTCTCTAGTCCGGTCTTCATCAGGGCTGAATATTTTTAAGATTTGAATTATAATCATGAAAACAAAAGAATAATGATACAAAAAAGAGTGAGGCACTGGAAGGTGCACACAATTACAAAATGGATGAATTCCTGACAGTGTGGTGCAATGCTATTACAGTTGAGTCTGGATTTACGCGGTTTTTGTTTACGCATTTGGTCATTTACACGGCACCTTGCCAGAATGAAATGTTTTAATTACGCGGTAAATTTCATCATTTACACGGGAAGCGGCGCAGGCAGGGTGATAATAAGGTCGCCCAGTCATCAAATCATTACCGAGTTCTTCACCCGCCACCCACCACAGCCGGCCCAAGTCAGTGATAGTGAGGATAAGGACTTTGAGGGGTTTGATAAAGAGGCCCTGCAAGCCTCTGTGGTGGATAGTGATACAATTGATACAAGTGATACAGGTGAGGGCCAATAATCTGCCCTCTGCCTCGGAACCAACCCTCCATCCCCGTGTGCCCAGCCATCTTTTCTACTAACATAAGTGTTAAAAACCTATTATTATTGATATTTCTCTTAAATATTACTTGTGTGTGCATACCATCATAAAATTAAGCTGTTATTTTTACTACAACATACGTATTGTGTCTGAAAAAGTGGAGTTTGGGGGTCGGCCCAGTCTCTATTTCAATTAATCCCATATGTTCTGTTATTTCGTTTACGCGTTTCTCGTTTTACACGGACCTCCACGGGTTCAATTGACCGCGTAAATGCTGACTATACTGTACACCATTTACAAAATAGATGAATTCCTGAAAATACTTCAGATACCAAAATCTTCTACATTAAGGCTAATAATACCAGAAATTTGGCAATGGCTAAGCTTACCTGCCATCTACCCTCCTCCCAGTGAAGAGGTGTAATGGGCCCCTGTCTCATCAACAGAACATATATAAATGGGTCAATACATCTGATATTATATTCAGATTCACCACCCTGTAACTTTCCACTGTCTATGAGTGAGACATGAGTTGAACACATGAACGGTAGCTTTCCCAAGAGGGACAAGCCCATATATCAGCATCTATGTAAGCGCGCACCAGCGACACTCCTTGCTGTCACTCGGATCAACTAATATCGAACGGACGTGATAAACGTTTATATTTACATAAACGCAGTCCTCTTTCTCGTTCACTCATAAATAGTGGAGCATACAGTTGATCTACACTCAGGAATTATAGACATAATCCTTTTATAATAAAACAAAGGAACTTCAATTGGGTCTCATTACTAAAACCCCAATATCAAATATATGTGAACAACCCGGTTAATTGGGGGATTAACCGACGGATTCAGAGGTCTGGGGGAAAAAATTTGCCTTATTATTCGGCTTGTCATGTAATTTTGATGTTAAATTTATAATTATGCATCAAATTTTTCTATAGTGTTTAATATTTTATATCTACAATAATAAAATATAAACCACAATAGGCTGATCATTGGTGAAAAGGGGAGTGCCTGCCTGCACCCTGCTTCCCTCCCTCCCTTACCTGCTTCCAACTTACTGTCTCACACACAAAAGACTTTAACCCTTAAGTCACGTGTATATTGTACTGGTAGTACAGTATACACGTGACCCTGGTCTCTAATAACCTCAGATAATTAGGAGTGTATCTTGAAAAATATGTGGTGAATGCTGCTAGCTGGGAATGCATTCTCCCCATTCTTATGGGGAAAATTGCCCCGTTATTTGCAATGACTTTAGAAATGCATCCTTTGTGATAACCAGGGTATTCCTGTACAGTATATATAAATTTTAATAAAACCTCACTTGCCAGGGATTCAAACCAAGGTCCTCCAAAAATTTAACCACTGCACCACAGGGACTTTTTAAAACGTAACTTAGACTTTGTTAAACCAAACCAGCTCTATCATCTTTCACAGCATCAAGAGCCTCGACTTGGAGTCAACACTTAATGCTGGCTTATATAATTGTGGTTATGATATTGTATGGTGGCTCAAAAACTGCCGAGAGAATTATTGGCAAGAAAATGAGGATTTGAGGTGAAACTAGGGGTTCACTGGTGAAATAAAAAAAGTTACAAGAAAAAGTCAAACTTTATAAATACCATTCACAAGTAAAAAAACGAAATGATTTTTAGGCAGTTGGGTTGGGTAAGTCAACATCGGGGAAATATCACTGGACTTTTTTGAACAAATATAAGGAAATACTTATCCATACAGAGGGTGATAGACCTATGGAATGATCACCAGACCAATCTGTAGGATAAGGAACAGTATTTGGCTTCAAAATAGCCCTTGACAAAATTATCAAGAACAATGGAGGGATCCTACATAGGCCAATGGACTCCTTCCCTTGGCATGGCCAACTCTAGAGGGTGCCAATTAGGTAAATAAAGAGGTAGGTAAATCAGGAAAAGTTCTGCTACCTGGATGACAAGATCAGTACTGTGGGTGGTCATGAAGCCAGCTCAGTTGCAAGTATCTGAAGTGACTGTAGAAAGTTTAGAGTTATTGCCTTTATTGATGGCAAGAGAACCTTCCCTTCATATGAAATGAAAGCTGCATGCACTGATGTGAGTAATGTGATGTATGGAAGTGAAACATGGGCAGATTAAAGAGGCTGACATACACAGGCTCGTTAGCTGAAATGAGTGTGTTAAGGTGGATGTGCAGTACGACCCTGAAGGATAGGAACCTTGTTCTGAGCTACTAGGGAAACTGAATATTGAGAATTTTCATGAGGGTTTGCTTTGAGGCTGGCTGAGATGGTTTGAGCCAGTGGAGAGAAGAGACCAATTGGGTCAACAGATGCATGTGTCTATATGTGGACAGGAATAAAACCAGAAGTAGGTCAAGAATGATTTGGGGAGAGATTTTAAGAAATAACATCAGTTAAGAACCTGACGACAAAGGATTTTCGTAAGAGAACACAGAGTATGGAGAGCTGCTACTAGGTAATCAGAGTGAACTCATTCAAGCATAGAAAATGGACATAAAATTTTGATGCAGATGAATCAAGAATAGTATACAAGACTTCCAAGAACCATTCTTAACTGGCAAGGCAAGGTTGCCACTTCCTGAGGTATTCAAAGATACCTGCCGACCTACATGCAGTAACATACTGGTATGTAAAGGAGACTTACCTATAGTAAACATGATATAAACACAATTTCCAGGAATGCGCTTTGTTCAAAATGAAGTAGTTCGCTATCAACTGAATGCTTTTACCAGCCATGCCTGCAAATAATTTAAAATAATTAGTATAGACAAAATTTCCTTGTCAATGTGAATAAAATAATACTTTAATAGCAATATTTATTCAGTAAAATTGCCATAAAGGTTCACAAATGGACAAACACACATGATTGGTTGAATTATCGCTAAACAACTAGTTGAAATGTGATCATAGTTATAGCTTACGCAGAAAACCATGGGTTGTGCGGGTAGTGGTATAGCATTAATTTAGTGATGTTTTGCTTATTTAACCCCAAATTTTGCAATTTTAACAATTTTAGTTATTGGACATTATAAGTGCGTACCTTAAGTAATATACGTAGATACAGGTAAACCTTGATATGATATCCCGTTCAGCGATATTTCACTTTAACGATGGTCATAAACTAAGACCATCTCTCTAAATACAATAAAAAAATTTGCTTTAACGATAACCATTGAATATCCATTGGTTGGATTTTTTTTAATCTCTAGTGCAAACTATAGGTTCTATATATGTACTCAAATTAGTCACCGTCATGCAAGGATTCCATTAACACAAATTGTAATTTTCTACATCAAGTCAAGTGATATTTTAAACAAAAACAATCTACCTTCACCTGAAAGCCTATCCATGCGCCGCCACACGGCCATCCCGCGCACTATAGCAAGTTTGGTTCTTTGTCAATCATAAACCCGCAATGCATGGCTCCCACAATTATCGGCCAGCGTCATACATTGTACTTATCGGTGTATATGTTAGGCGAGCGGGTCGGGTCGTGTTGCGTCTCTGTAACAAAGCGTGCTCAGCATTCGATGTTGAGCGGCAGGAATTGGACAGTGATTACATAAGAACATCAAGATCGTCTTAGTGATGTGAAAGTGTCCCACCTACTTGGGCACCTGTGTCCAAGCAACTGACGGGTCAAGCAGCGCCCACGGGCCGAAAATTTTCTGTGCTCTGGTTTGGGAAAGTTTCTTAGGGAAACTTCGAGGACGCTTTTAGGTCAGAACCACCAAATTTTTTGTCCGGATCTTCCAAAATCCGGATTTCCCAGGCCTGGATCTTCGAGAGTTTACTGTACAGTACAGTACCTGTATTTGCATTTCAGCAATAATACTGCAACATGAAGAATGGAGAGAAAACCTTACATTCTAACATTGCCATATATTTTAAGAATTTCTGACCTCACAAATTGCAATTCAGAAAAATCCTATACAGTTATCTATTACTGTCCCTCAAATACCTCTTCCTAACATTACTACAAAATATCTGCAAGATGATTATTAACCCTTAAAGGGAGGGTGTAGTGGATTTCTCCCCTACAAACGCCGTTTGTCGCTGAGTAGCCGATCCCACGAATTCCCCAGTGTATACCTCGGGATCTAGGTCAACCAGTGCCGCCTTACATGACGGAGGTCAACTACTAAGCCACGCCTACCTCCGCTATTTAAGACCTGACCTCGTGGTGACCACTCTCTTTCTACCTACACCAACCAGCCAACAACACCACCACCACCTCCTCCGCCTGCCTGGCGACCCACAAGCTGTCCTCCTCTGAGCATCCTCACCAACCAACTCTCTTCTTCTAGCTACAGCCGCAGCAAGCTACACCACCTCCTCCGCCGCTGCCTGGCGGCCCTCGCTCCCGCCGGCGAGCATGGTGACCCACAAGCCGTCCTCCTCTGGGCATCCTCACCAACCAGCTCTCTCTACATCACGCTTGTAACCACGCTGCCACTTCCCAGCACCAAGCTGCATTGTACATCCAATACAACATGTATACAGAGAGCACATCGCGAGTTTCCTTTCTCCATCCCATCCTGAGTGTGAACCCAAACATCCCATTACCCCACAAGGGGATATTTACGTGGACGAGGTATATTTTTTTATGTAGAAAAAGGAACAAATCGCAAAAGAAATTGTTCAAATACATGTAGAAAGTGCCCAAATTTAAATATGTATTTAAATTTATTTTGCTCCATTAGAAAGATGAATCTTTTTTTCTACAAATTTGTATTGTCAAACAAATACAAGAAATAATAATTTCTTGGAGAAACCACGAATTGAACTGGGAGTACATGTTTTTCCGGCTCTGGTGCGAGCAGCCAGCATTGTCATGCTAACCAGACAAAACACAAACACGAGCGTACCCAAACAATGGCGTAAAAAAATTAATCATCATATGACATCCACCACAATTTATGCATTTTCCTTTCGAACATCATATGCTATCCACTGCCCTTTAAAGGGTAACTATTCAACTATAATATTTCAGTCAACAGCTAACAATACTGACAATCTTGCAACTGAAAATAATCACATGGCTTAACACTTTATAGCAATTATCATCTTTCATAAACATAAATTATATATCCACAACAGCTACTATAAATGAAAAAGCCCTGTTTGCATCAACTGACTTAAAACTCTGACCCTCATTCAAACTAAGTTTCAAATCACAAACACAGTTTGGTGTGATGTGGCTATCTTGGGGAAAAGAAAGTTAACTATGATTTCTTCCTTACCTTTCTTTTCTTCCACAGTCTGTGGTTTAGTCCAAACAATCTGACGGCTCTCCCTCCTGCCACGCATCGTACCACGTCCAACAGAATGAGCAGTAATTTCCTCTACACCATCACCTGTAAAGATATAAGAAGGTTTGCTTCTAGTTTAAGATCATTATCTTAGCAAAATGTACATACTCCCTCACTTAACATCTACAAATTTCTTCTTAGGCACATAATCCCATGTACTGCTAATGTATGACTGAAAGAATGGTAACACGTAGCATACGATAATGTACATTTTGTTGAGTAATACTGGGACGGTTTAATGAAGAGGTAGGAGTAAACCAGACTGGTAAGGTATCTCTTTACATCTTAATGTGCATGAAACACACAACAATGTTACAGCAACAAAGGATAATCTGTGTTAATGCAAGGTTATTCATGAAGGAAAGGTTCAACGTGAAGGAATATCAGAGAAGCGAGTCATAAAGGTTGAAGCTGAAAAAAAGAGGCTGGAAGACTTGAAAGAAATGAGTAAGCAATGGTAGAACAGGTAAATGGGGAAAGGTAATTATGCCAGGGCACTCCTGCTTAACACAATTGCTCAAGGAATTGGATATTTAGACCCATATTCTGGAACGGGGTGGTAACATCGACAATATTTACCTAGATTTTGCCAAGGCTTTCGACACTGTACCCCACAAAAGGCTGAAAATCAAACTGGAAGGGTACGGAATTCGGGGAAATGTCCTAGCGTGGATAGAAGACTTTCTACATGACCGCAAGCAGTGTGTGGTGGTAAATGGCATGAAATCATCATCCGTACCTGTCACAAGCTGAGTACCACAGGGCAGTGTATTGGGCCTGCTGTTGTTTATTTGTTTCATAAATGACATGCCTGACATTGTCCACTCCTCCATACAAATGTTTACCGATGATGCCAAGTCATTTCGGGAAATCAAGAACCAAGCGGACTGTGAAGAGCTGCAGAAGGACCTCTGTGGGCTCCAAGAATGGTCGAAGAAATGGCTGCTGAGATTCAATGTCACAAAGTGTAAGAGGATGCACCTGGGGCATACAACGGTAAGGAGGTGTATCATATGTCCCAACGGGATGAAGAAACCGCACTATTTGAAACAATGTGAGAAGGACCTAGGTGTGCGTGTTGGCAATGAGCTGAAGTTCTGTGCGTGTTGGCAATGAGCTGAAGTTCTCAGGCCATTGCCAGAAGAAGGTAAATCAGGCAAATAAATTATTGGGTCTTATAAAAAGGTCGTTCAGATAACTAGACGGTCCGTCCTGCATAACGATCTTCAAGAGTGAAGTGCTTCCCCGTCTGGTCCCCGAGATATGCTAGGGACTGTCAGTTGGTTGAAAATGTTCAAAGGAGGGCCACCGGACTGGTGCCTGCACTTCGGCACCTCAGTTACCCTGAGAGATTGGAGCGCCTGAACTTGCCTAGCTTATACTACAGACGGGCAATGGGAGACCTAATTGAAATGTATAAGCATCTCAGGGGGCACTGCTCAGTCGAGTGTCCTTACTTGGAGCTGGCGGACGCTCGCCCCACAAGGGGTCACAGCTCATGATTGAAGAAGCAGCAAGTCCAGAAAACTGTGAGGGCAAACTTTTTCGGAGTGAGGGTTGTAAACTCTTGGAACAATCTACCAGAAAGTGTTGTGACGGCACCGAGTGTGAGCTCTTTCAAGACAAAACTTGACCAACACTGGAGCAGGTTCAGGTACATTTAGGAGCCAGTGCATGCCCAGTACTTGCCAACAGTGCGTAACAGAGACGTGACCGATCGCCCAAGCGGCTAACGAGCCAATCAGTGGTGAAGAAAATATATATATATATATATATATATATATATATATATATATATATATATATATATATATATATATATATATATATATATATATATATATATATATATATATATATATATATATATATATATATATATATATATATATATATATATATATATATATATAAAACACACACACACACACACAAAGCTGAAATGGAAAATCTGTTACACGATGAGTATTCCTGAAGTTACTTAGAAATGCATTGATTCATATTTTCTGTATTTCTCACAAGTTTCTTCTTCTGCACTCTTAACTTTTCCACATTCAAACCACACCAGATAATAATCCTAGACACTTACCACCACCAGCTTCCAGCTTAACAGCTCCTACGGACTGTACAAGTTCCTCAACAGCAGGCCGCTGCCTCCCCTGTCTTGTGTCTACATTTTTTTCTGCAACTTGATAAGCAGCTCTACTTACTGCAGGTTGTTGAGGTGGTCCCTGAAATACAAATCTTTCTCTTACTTATAGATAGCTTACTGAATGAATTGCTCTTCTATCATATGTTACATACAAACAAAGTTAATAACTACTGTACTTGTGAAACATAGTATAGTACTGGTTGTTAGGCAAGGCAGGCAATGTTACCAAACACTCATAATTGTCTTAATTTCATGACACTCAAAAACATGTCGATAATATGTCAGTACAGTACACCATTCCACTATTTATATTTAATCAAGAACGACGTACGGAGAGGTTGCAAGAGATGTCATTTTGATAGTTAAGAACCTGACAAGAGAGACTGCAATTTATTATGAATGATAGCTACCCGTAAGCTCCCTTATCCTGGGATTGTCTACATACCCCTACATTCTTTCTTATGTTGCTGCAAGAAGAGCAGAACCTCGTTCACTATATAAAGCTCCTCCCAGACTTACGACGGGGTTAGAGACCCAAGTCCAGGTCGTAAGTCGAAATGGGAAGCGTCCGAGCGCATCAATGATAGCGTTTGTTTGCCGCCACATTGATGACATAGTTGTCCGCTCCGCCTCACTCTCACACACACTCCGTGGAATACAGTGCTGCGCCCACGTGTGAGATTTTTGCCTCTATAACCAGTGGTTGCTAGGGTCGGTGATCAACAATGGCTTCCGCATTTTTGCCTGTGGGAGTTAGGGGAGGTGGTGGAGGGAGTGATTTGCGCCTGAACGCCCGGGAACTTCTAAAGTGAATGAGAAAAAAGACCCTAAAGCTAAGAGACAAAGCCACAAGAAGCGTGCCTACTTGGTCAAGGATAAAGAACAGATTGTTCAGCTCATTGAAAGTGGTGCACGGAACATTGACATTGTGAGGAAATTGAACTGTCCTGAGTCTACAGTGCAAAATGTTAAGAGGAACTTAGAGGAGACCAAGAAGAGTATTACACTGGCTAGGAAATATTTCGGTAGTGATGGAAATGCGAGGCGAGCTATGAATGATAAAAGTGATAGAAACAGGTTGTTAGTAATAACAGAGCATTTTCTTGTGAAATGGTTAGCTTGTAGACTGAAAGACAGTGCGAGTGTTAGCGGCCCTCAGATACGGAACAATCATCACGCCAAGCACCTCAAAAACTCCCCCAAGTTAAGTGTTATATTACTCAAGTTCTTTATTTTGATGATTGAATAGCAATTCTTTTTATTTCAGCAAACAAAAAGTGTTAGGAGGGCTTCTAAGGTGAAAAAATGGGTGAAATTCTTGGGGCGGCGGCACCAATAAACCATTTTTACATGTATTTTAATGTCACACAAATAATGTTTTCGCTAATAATGGCATTTTTCAGGCACCTATTAGACGTTATTGGCAAGAGCTACTGTAGTCTGCACAGAAAGTTAGGTCGCGATAGGGCCGACGAACAAATTTCTCGCGTAAATAAGTTCATATGTTGTGAAGGCTGTCCCGGGACGTGAGATGTTAATACGCTTGGGTGGCTGGCAAGTGGTGACACTTAGCAACTGAGCACCCGTCATGGCTTGCTCTCAGTGCGCCTCTGGGAATCGTGAGGGGGAAGATTAACCTGCGGGTTTGAGTGCCCCGTGGCCATCAGAGATGTCCAGGAGGGTTACTACAAGGGTCAACATTGCAGCAGTGATTGCATTGTACAAAGCAAACCATGAACTGAGAAATATTTTTGCTCAGATTGGTGTGGGGTTGCATGTTGTGCAGAAACTTGTGAAGCGTTATTGTGAACTTGGAGAGGACATGTTGCCAGCTCCTCTACCCAAGTCTGGTAGGCCTAAATTATTGTTTCCACGGATACTTCAGGACATTTCACGCCAAGTTAAGTCCAATCCCGCCCTCACAGCACGCGAAGTAAAAGAGAGAAACCCCCGTCTTCTCAGCCACGTCTCTTTAAGCTGTGTTCAGCAATCCTTACATGATGCCCTTGGATTTAAGAGCTTCCGTGCACCGTCGTAAATCTCTACTGACGAAGAGACAAAAAGAAAATGGAGTGAAATTTTGCAAGAAATATGCAGTGTGGGGTTTAGAGTCATGGAGGAGTATTTTTTGGTCTAACGAGGCTACGTTTTTTGTGACTGGCAGTGGTGGAGGGAGGGTGTACCGCCCTCCTCACTCGGATGCAAATCTCCCACAGTACAGTGAAGACTGTTAATCACCCTGCCTCGCTTATGGTTTTTGGGCTTGCTTTATGTATTATGGTGTTGGTAAACTAGTAATCCTCACTAAGAACCAGATGATGAATCAGTACAACTAACTTAGGCTGCTCAGTGATTTCTTACCTGAATTATTTGATAAAGCTAAGGCAAGGCTTTTCATGCAGGACGATGCCCCATGCCAGGCTGCTAAAAGTGTCATACAGTGGCTCAAAGACTGTGAGGTATCTTTCTTTAATGACTGGCCTGGCAGTAGCTCAGATCTCAACCCAGTAGAAAATTTGTGGTCCATTGTTAAGCGTTGTCTGCACGACAATGACACATCATCAATCCTGAAGCGGAGGCAGCTATCAAGGATATCTGGCCTAACTTGCCACCTGACCTCTTGCACTGTTAAATAAATGTTAATCAAGAACTCCCCCCAACAATACAAGTGGCTATATTTATAAGGTTCCTTGAGAGGAATGTTATATGTTTTACTTAGGCCAGACAGGTAAAGATCTTGTAACTAGACTTAATCAACATAAATATAGTGTTAGGACAGGCCAGAAATCCAATGCTATGTTTGTTCAATTATGGGATAATAAGCATTGCATTGACTGGGATAATGCCTCCTCAATATTATCTTGTAATTCAATTGACAGTAGGAAGATTATAGAATCTAGTCTCATAAAACATACCGAAGCAGTCAACATGAATTTGAGTAATGGCATGTACAAACTGGACAATTTTGTAATTAAGAAGACTTGTAACCAGGTGAGAAGGTTGGGTCAACTTACACTCTGACCTGACTACCGACCGTTGCGGTGCTTTTTAAAGATTAGTAGGGTCATTACCTAATACCTGACCTTTGTGGACCTGATCTCACCCTCCTCTGTATATATATATACCTTGTTTTGTACTTCTCCTTAGTCTGTACTCACCCCTGAAGATGTGAATTACACGAAAGCGCTTGGGAACTTCGTGTTTTCTTCTTTCCTTGTGGTTATCAGCACTTCAAAGAGTTCTTTTACCCCCCTTTGGTGATGTTTACATAAATGTGGTAACGTCACATTTCCACACTTGCAAATGAATGAGTAATAGTCTTGTAACGTTGAGCCGATTGGTGGAAAAGTTCTAGTGTTGGACATCAGTCCCTGCCCCAGAAATAAAACTGAAGGTTACCTCGCCACCATATTATCACTATCATGTTACATAAGTAATCCTCAATCTTGTTTTCATATTTCATGACGGCTCTGAACACGCCTTTGAAGACAATCTCCACCGCTGCCACGACCACAGCACCTTGCATGATACTCCATTATACAGGCCTACCACCATCCACATTTATATTTGATGCCTCTTACGGTTTATATACAGTACTATGTTTGCCGGCTTCCTACGATTACTTACCAAAAGTATTTTGGTTTTATATAATTTTATATGTCTTCGTGACATGAAGCATGGGACCAAGTACCAGTGGCATTTTATTTATTTTTTTAATACAATAAAGCCTTGAATAACGATGTTAATGTGTCCTCCAATATTGCAGTGCAAGGTGAATCGCTTTATCGCGAATCATTAATTACCAGTAAAATAAAGCAATAATAATGAGAAGCGTTCCCAAGTGTGACCTTTTCATATCTTTTGTGTGGCTTTTAACTCTCTCTTCCCCCCAAAACACTAAAAATAATGAAAAGTGCAAACTATATTCTTTAAATAATGATTCTGAATGCACCTTATGCAATATAAATGAATAATATGGTCACACAAGAGGTGGGACGCCATTGTTTTCGTTTTTGTTTACAGCTGGAAGTCTGGGACGATAGTTCTACACGAGCAAATGAAGAAAATAAGACCCTGGTTGTAGCTGTAATAAATTTAATTTAAAAAAATTAATATATATATATATATATATATGTTTTAAGTAACGCTATTTAATGTTAATAAATGGAACAATCGAAGAAGCTCACCACTAATGGCAAAGAAAAAAAAGAGGTGGATTGGGAATGCCAACATATACATGCGCATTTAAGGATACCGCGTCATTTATCTTAAGAATATGCACAAAAGATTCATTATTGTTTTTTACTGAATATGTATTTGATTGAATTAATGTTTATATATGAGATGAACAATGCAATTCATTAATAATACATAGAATATTTTCTTTAGTTTCTTATGTAGAACCATAGTCACTCACGAAAACAATGCCGTCTTGTCTCCTCGTGTGTTTTAATATTCTATGTATTATTAATGAATTGCATTGTTCATCTCATATATAAACATTAATTCAATCAAATACATATTCAGTAATAAACAATAATGAATCTTTTGTACATATTCTTAAGATAAATGACTATGTTTCCTTGAGTGCGCACGTATACATTGGGTGTAAACACCGACAATAATGTCGTCTCTTACCCTCGTGTGTTTTAATATTCTACGTATTAATGAATTGTATTGTTCATTTCGCATATATAAAGATTAATTTAATCAAATACATATTCAGTAATAAACAATAATGAATCTTTTGTGCATATTCTTAAGATAAATGATGCGGTATCTGGTGGTTACTAGTGTTCCCCAAAGAATGCAGTGATGGGTAGGGAAACACTGAGTAACACTGAGTCCGTTTATTATGGATGAGGGAAATACAAGTGGTGACTCGGGTGTGCCATGCACGGCTCACACAGTCAGACTGAAGCTGCCTTGCCATATGGCAGCCTCGGGGCAATGTTGCCACATAACGTGCAGTGTTGCCACGTGATAATATATATAAATGCTACTCGGCATAGTAGCTTATATACAGGGTTGCTACTCGGCACAGTAGCTTATATACAGGGTTGCTACTCGGCACAGTAG